GTGGAACGTTTCAATCGTACCCTCCTTGCCATGCTGCGAACCCTACCGGAAACGCAAAAATCACACTGGAAAGACCACCTCCAGAAAATGGTTCACGCCTATAATTGCACGCGTCACGAGTCAACTGGATTCTCGCCATTTTATCTCTTATTTGGCAGACATCCTCGTCTACCTATTGATATGATCCTAAACCTGGAGAGCGAGTCAACTGAGTCACCGAATTATAGAGAGTATGTTAACAACTGGAGCGAAGCGATGTCGGAAGCGTACAAGATTGCAAACGAAAAGAGTTCACAAAATAGAGCGAAAGGGAAAAAGCTATACGACCGCCGCATCCGTAGTTCGGAGTTACGACCGGGGGATAGAGTTCTTGTACGAAATCTGAGTAAGCGAGATAAACCTTGCAAGCTGCGAAGTCATTGGGAAGACAAGATACATGTCGTGGTCACTAGGAGAGGGGAAGATAGCCCAGTCTATACAGTTAAACCCGAAAGTTCTGATGGCCCGAGTAGAACTCTTCATCGTAATATGCTGTTACCGTGTAGTTCACTTCCCGTGGAACCGCTGTTGAACCAAAAAACGCCTCGTCGTCAAAGAGAAAATACAGTTCCTCCCAGCACAAGATCTACTAGTCAACCGGAATCAGATGAAGACGAATTAGATGGGTTAACATTTGTACCGTTGGCGAATGATCAGAGGAGTGGGGCGGACGTAACCGATGCCGTGACACCAGCTCAAGACGGCGAGCACGGACATGATGAGATAGACAACTCAGAGTTACCAGCGGTCGAGAACCCAGATGTATTGGCCCTTGATGAACAACAACCAACCATTCCACCGCCAGCAACGGAAAATGTGTCTATTCCACCACCACCTATGGAAAATACCAGACCTAGCAGAAACAGAAACCCACCACCAAGACTAAATTATTGGACACCAGGTAACCCAGTCACAGGCATTTCATACCCTGGTAGTATGAACACTATTTTCGGTTTTGTAGGGCCTAGTCAACCAGGAGTGATGCCTTTCCCACCAATGAATTCCATTCCTTATATGTGGCAGCCAACCCCCCTACCTTATAATCCCTTCGCATACCTCGGACCTCATTGTCCGTACTGTGGAACAATGTTCTTTAATTAGATAAGTACGTTAACGTTGTATTGAACTGAAGATCGTGATCTTCGAAAGAAACTTTAAGTGCATGTTAGTTTTGAAATTTGAAACGATGTTTTTGAAAACATACGATAGTGGAACGAGTAATAAGAAACGAACTGACTCTTGCCCGAAATGACTGCAGCATCTCGTGTTGGATAAGTTTGTGAGATTTGTAATTGTTGGAGATTTCATGATTCATTGAATCAATGTCGTGTTTGACATTTCTTTCCAGGGGGAAAGTGTAGGGCCCCTGCCCTTAGTTGTATGATTACGCAAGAATCACGCGTGGGACACTCGCGGGACAATATATAGATTAACAGTTGCTTCGAGCACATGTAAAACGAGAGTTTATATAGTTCACATTTTGTTAGTAATAAAATATATATCTTTTGCAATCGTTATGTTCCATACGTGAAGGGAAAAAGGAGTAACACTTATAACATGAAAATTTTACACAGTCCTTTCTTAAATGCATTGCAAAGATCACTTCAATGCACTATGCAACCTCTTTGGCAGAATACTTGTGGCTTTCTTTCTTCCCGAAATATTCACCATTGTTTGATGTGCAAATATCGAGAGTATGACATGAATGGATTTACTGGGGTGTGCGCACCCCCCCCTAGCCCTGGCCAGAGGGGATGCAGGAGGGGTGCTATTTTTCATGATAAAGCAAAAAAATTATTAGAGGCAAAATGAGATACAGTAATTTGAGTAATAACATGATGATAAACGAACTGTGAACAACAATTCAAATTCAAATACAGTAGTCAAAGTTGATGGGCGGGCGGCACACATAACCGACACAACTCGGCACCAGAGCTGGCAAAGCAACCCCCACCAGATCATACTGGATCCATCCCTGATGACATCACACTGCATAATGAATTCCTATGACAGAATGTTTATCTTATGTGTAAAGTTAACAAATATTTAAAATTGTGCTAATATGTGCATAAACCATTTAATCACGAGGCCTCCGTATCTGTGTGTTGAATATTTTAACCAATTTCAAAATTAATGATGTCCTTCAAAAATCTCGTTACGCATTGTGATGTCATACTGATGATATTTGCATAACAAACAAAGTTGAATATCAAGGGAAGGAATAGAGCAACAAGTAAAGAGGTTAATATAAATTACAGTCATTCTCACTGATCTTTGCAATGCATTCAAGGAAAGATTGGTTGAAATTTCGCATCCAATGGCAATATTTATTTATTTAGCTTTGCCAACTAGGGCAGGGTCACCACAACAGTATATGTCAATAACTGTGAGAACCGGAGTATCAGGAGAAAACCCACGACTTCCGGCAGAGCGTTGGTTTGTACTCTTTTCGCATGAGGACTGGGTTCGAATCGCGAGGGGGAACTTCTCACTGAGATTTGGACCTGCGACCTCAGAAGTGAAAGGAAAGTGCGCTAACCACTTCGCCACCGAAGCCCCCATTATCTAGTCGAATGTCCAAATCTCAACATAAAATCGTAGTCCACTGTATAGTAGACTTGCTCCAAGTCTCTCTTTCATTGTCATATAGTATCGGTCCGCTATAGTGTACGTTACATGACGTAGAACGGAGGGGCGGAGCGAGAAAGAGAGACTTGTCAACTTCGGAAAATCTCGGTTCGAAACTGAACCGAAAATGCAAGACTTGCTTTAATTGTTTTCTGTCAGTGTTTTATGTATTGATCTAGCACAGTGTAAATAACATGAGTTCCATTATAGTAAATAATACAGAAAGAAATTGAAGGAAAACAATTAAAGCAAGTCTTGCATTTTCGATTCAGTTTTGAACCGAGATTTTTCGAAGTTGACAAGTCTCTCTTTCTCGCTCCGCGTCTCCGTGCTACGTCATGTAATGTACACTATAGTGGATCGATACTATATGATAATGAAAGAGAGACTTGGAGCAAGTCTAACTGTATAGATGCTTCTACGTTTGTCAAGATTTTGTTATAGACCATAACTCGATTACTTTGACAAAGTTTATTTTAGCTGGATATCTGATTATACAGTATACATACAGTATAATACTTGGTCTTACCTCTTTTTTTGCCTTAGCCAGAGCTGCTTCCAGGTCGTTCACGGTAAGTTCAAATGGCATGTTGGTTTCTGGATGAGGCTAGTGAATAGATCTCATTATAATTATAACTATATAGAAAATGTAACTTCACAAAATTTGGGCTGGAAGATAACTTCAGCAATTCAAGAAAATTCCGCGCCTTAATTAAACGGCACGTACATATAAAATGTAGCAACTACTGTACTTCTACACATCGCGGCGATACACTTTCCAGTTAAACATTTGAGTTAAATAAAGTTCAGATGAGTATTCTCGTACAATGGAAAAAATTCGGTCCGTATTATGGAAATAATATAGACGTTCTGATTTGGACTTCCACTACCATTAAGCGACCACTAACCAATCAGATGCCTTTGATATAACCGATTAACCAATTACATGCGTACTACAGTAGGCCAGTGAGAGGTCGCTACCTCTAGTGGAAGTCAAATCTGAACCACTCTATAACATTTGCATCACTACAACTGCACATACATATGTACGTGTCCACACTATATCCATAGTATTAGTATGACACTACTATTTGATAATATTTCCATAGTACATGTAAGTCTTTTAAAAAATCCAGTGATATCGGCTAGCACTATAGCTTTTCTGGTGTAAACACTCGCAAATTATCCCAATTATTTAGCAAGATTAGGTTCACAAGTTGGTGCATACATGCATAGCTAGTGCTGAGCGCTAAATGTGATATGATTGGCTGCGTGTGGTCACGTGAGTTTCGCTAAATGCAGTGTATCCCGCCAAGTAAACGTCTCAACTTGCCCGGTGTGAACGCCACCTCAAAAAATAATAAACCTAGTTCATCTCTATCGCTCGGTGTCTATCAAAATATAAATGTCTGTAGTTTTCTAGCCTTTCTTAGGTCTTGTTTATCTTTTATAAGCTCATTATTTGTATCCACAAAAAATGAGCGCTATTTACTGTATATACCGTAACTGTAGAACACGTCGACAACGGATTGCATGTTTACCAACTATAACGGTTTTGTGCGTTTTGTTCTCTGACCAAATTTAAGGTTTACGTGAAGCAGGACGAAATCTTTATCTGATTTGCAGACATTGATAAAACATTTATTTACTTTGAATTTTCTTCACGAATTATTAATGATATCTTATTTGGCAAATGCATGAATGAACAATTCTAACCTTGCTAGACAAATGCACAGGAACTCGAATAATTTCGTTTTCAATGAAAAGATCTTGTTCAAATCCACCATAATACGGCGCTGGAATGAGTATAGCCTCTGAAAATGCAAGAAAAAAATAGATAAATTCATCCAAAAGAAAGAAATCAACCACAGACACCATAATGGTATGTATATAGATAGCTTCAGATGTGACAAAAGTAGTACGGGATTTGCTGGCTAAGGAAGTCATAAACCATATAGTGCACTGTGCTTTTTTGTCATTTATGTACAGTCAACTATTCTGATACATCCAGCTCCAATGAACTCAATGTGGACGTTTATATAACAGTCTGCGACGTGAAATTTTGACAAATCTTTTCATTAATCGTTGTCACGTTTAAAAACTATGTTTTCCGTCAACTACCTTATTAATGTTGCCTCGATATGTTGTTGTGGTTATCATTTACTCCAAAGATTGTTTAAGGAATGACAAAAAAAAGATTGACTAACCTCCAGGGTTGAATATGGTCGCGGATAGAGCTTTGATTAACGCTGCACCACCATTAAAGACAACTACCTATAAAAACAAACAAGACAATAAATATTTTAATATTAAATTTAACTAAGCAATATAGGATAGGAAAGATTAAGTATAGGAGTTGTAAGTTATTCAGTCATGCTTACATTCTGTATTAACAAAAGTATAGCCGATTTTGTCCATTCAACTGCAATTTTATATCAACGCAAAACTTGCCATTAATATTTGGTGCAAGTGGGGACTACATGCAGGCACACATACAGTACATTTGGCCCAATTGACAATTGTATAGGCTAGAAGGGTTTTGTTGATGGGACTTTTTTAGTGTAAATGTTACACATTTATATATATAATAGACACTCGAAAATTTCCGCCAACAAAACCATTCTACAATTAGATCTATAATGAGTGCATGAGATGGCCAAAATCCACATACTGTATTAACCCATCCTGTTGATCCAATAGACAACTTGCATGTTAGACTAATTTTTGATCTAGGCAAAAAAAGTAAATTCCTGTAAAGAACTTATTAAAATTAGTAAAATTGCAAAATTTGGTTACTAAATGTTGTAAAATACGGAAATAAAGCCTTGCGAAGTTTGTATATCTTGTATATGTTTGCATTACGTGCGGAAATTGTTACCATGGTAACAATTGGTAACAATTTCCGCACGTAATACAAACATATACAAAATTTGAAAACTTTGCAAGGCTATATTTTCCAATCTTTACAACATTTCGCAACCAAATTTGCAATTTTACTAATATAATCATGTTGTTTAGCTGTGATGTTTGATTCCCTTCTCGTTGCTTAAAAAAAATTTAGTCCAACATGCATGTTGTCCATTGTGTCTCGAACTACTCCAAGTGATCATAAACCGTTTCTTTCATCACAACAATCATTTTAAATTGATAGAATCAGGTTTCGCAAAATTTGAAATTTTTGGTGCAAAAGGAGCACCACTGGTATATATGCATGCCTTTGGTCCCACATATATGCATGCATGGTATTCAACTTATTTTAGATAGCAAAGTATAGTCACAAGGAGAATAGACTGATAAAGTTACCTTAGATGTTTAGCCGCTTTATGCCGAATCTACACTATTATTTTGGCAGATATTCTTCCCGACTGGCTTATGAACTGACGTCTAACTACAATGTTTGGGTCGTAAGGGTCCAGAGGTATACGTCCTGCAAGGGCTGGTTGTTCAAAGCTGGATTAGCGGGTTACAATTTAACCTGCTGTTTTGGTTTGGTACAGTACAACGTCAAATCCGTGTGCAATTTAAAACCTCAGAAGATGAAATTTTTGTTAATTCGGACAAGATATATGCATGGAAAAGTATTTCCATCTTTGTAAACAAGTTGTTAGGAAGATTGCTCTTAAGATTTTCGTTAACATAGGATTTAGCTAACCAGATTTCGAACGATCGGCCCCAGGATGGCTTGATTCAAGACTAGCTGCAAAATATAATGGAACTCTCGCGTTTCGAGGTAATAAGATGCAAGGCACATGTACTAACCAGCTAGTGCCAATGTATTTCAAACACTGTAGACCTAACACCACGCATTTATGTTTTTACAGAAATAAGTGTGGATCATGCAATTTGTCATATGATACACTTTGGCTACCCCTTACGCTCACTTGAGTAGCTGACTAGTCCTATTGGGTCGTTGTAGAAACGTTCTGAGATTACGTTCTGTGATCACGCCAGCGTGCATTTAAAAACAGAATGCTTATATAACAGCAATAATGGGTAAGTACGAAAATCAAGTTGCAAAACCACAAACCAAATCATTAGCACATACATCATTTGGATCGATTTTCTCCAAGGGCTTCATGTAACGTTCGAAAAATGCGGCCATAACTTCGCGGAACCTATGATAATAACAAAAGAAATAGGAAAATTGAGACATGCAGAAATCCAAGGCCTTCGCCCGAAACGTCGAAACTCCCCTTATATCTTTCAGGTAGTTGCATCCCTATATACTAGAGAGTTTAAGTTCGACTTCCGATACCAATACCGATACTAACAACATGTCATGCGCATGCTCTCTGCTCGCAAGAAGCACGAGAAAGTCACCACTACCGAAGTCGGCTTTGTATTGGAAGTCGGGGGAATTGTAAGATAAACTCATATAAATCGGATATTTCATAATTTTTACGATAAACATGTATGTAAGCTATTTGTTTACTAGCATCGTCTGAGTCATGTTTTAGTCGGAATTTTAGCTCAGCTGCCGTTTAGTATACTGACGATTAATGTGTTCTATGCTTTATCTGTCGTGATAACTTAACGCTTTAAAATTCCCGGTATCAAAATGAGAACGGAAGTGAAAACATCGGTATCGGTATTCGAACTTAAACCCTCTACTTACACTGGCACAGGCAGTTCAAGAAATCCATGAATCCAAGAACGTTTCGGCTGCACAGACCGTTGGGAATTGCCAAAGCAAAATTGTAGTTACAGTATACATGTAATACACGCTGGACGTTACTTATAATTAACGGAAACGAAACGTCGGTTGCATCATTGTTGCTTGTGCTACTGTATGTCTTGTATTGTGAGATAAATCGAATGTACTATTTTCGGGTTTTTTCATACATTGCCAGTTTTTCAGCAGAAAAAGTACTTTTTACGTCACGAATTCAACCAAAACGATTCTCTTTTTTTGTACTGAAAATTTTCATGAGATGTTTGAGTTTCAACTCTCCTATATAATCGATCATCGAGCAACAGGGCTGGGAAATGAGCGAACGGCGAGGGTTATCAAATAACATTTCAAATTCCATGACAAAATTACTGAATTCTGATTGGTTGAGAGCTAGGAGTACAATTACTTTATTGTAATTGTACTCCGCTACAAGATTGGGCCTGGGGGATCAATTCAAATCATTCAAAATCCCAGCTCAACAAGAGTGCAAATTTTTTTAATTTTTCACAATCTCAGGAAATTTATCAAATAAAATTTCAATGTCAATATTGTATTTGTAAATGAATACAATAAGTATCAAACAAGCAATCACGCAGCGACCAAAGAGCATGGGGGTTGATGGGACCATGGCTCTCCTCACTTTTTATCCATAAATGATCACTGATGTTGAAATACGGAATTTTGTTAGGACAAGTGGATATGTTTATAAATTATGTACAATGGAGTCCTGTACATGCAATTCCCGATAACAATGGTTTTTAACGTTGTTCCAAACCTTTCATTCGTCAATTAAAAGCCCTTTCTGTGTGATTTTTATCTAAAATTGGTGCTACTACAATTAAACTCAGACGTGCCCAAAGGGGAAACGGCAGGATTTAGTAAAATACTTTGTTAATGTTATGCAAAATTTCAATTTTTCATGACTTTCCATGACTAAAATTAATTTTCCAGGATTTCCAGGCCTGGATTTTGGAATATCGAAATTCCATGACTTTCACGCAGGTTTCCCATGCAGGACCCGTACGAACCCTGATCGACAGTTGAGGGTCCATATCAGGTTTAATTTAAAATATGTTACAAGGTTGTTCCAACAAGTCCGTTACAGTCATGATATAGCGGTATTGTTACAACCTTGTGTCGTCCCCTTGTAACATTCTTGTTTATCATGACTGTATCAGACTTACCTTGTGACAAGTCTGACAATGCCATCAAGCTTGTTACAAGTTGTTGACAGCTTGTTGCAAACTTGTTACAACAAAAAACAAGCAGTGCGATGTATGGGAACAAGCAGTGCGAAGACAACTTGTTGTCAGCTTGTAAACAGATTTATAACAACTTGTTTGCAGACTTGTAACAACTTGTTGCGTTTCTACGTGACTGTGTACTAGGCATGTCCAAAGGTTGCATTTTCACGTAATGACGCACGTGATTTTTTTCGTTACTCGCCGGTCGATAACTATTATCTCCCTCTCGCACTGTTGCGAGGGAGACAGCCTAATTTCGTCACTCTCACGTGATATGCTCTCGACCAATAAAACACCAGAAAAAGGGGACTTTGAGTTTGACTGTTGGTATATAATAAAATTGACTGTATAAAAACAGACATGCATAAACTACATAAATTTGTCTAAATGGTTCATAGCAAGGTCGCTCTTGGAATCTCTAAAATTCCTTTAGAAATCGTTAAAACTTACAATTCCCTAAAAAGAATCGCTTAAACCATACAAGAGTCTTGTTGCTAAGGTAAAATCCATAAAAATAGGGGGCTGCACATGGAATTGATCATGCAGTTTATGGTAAAATCTCATATATGTGACATCTTTACACGCATTTATTCGAGTATAAGACAGGATAAGAATCGTATATGACTAGTCGTATCGTGTAGATGGGTCTCATGTAACATTATTTGCATGATAAAATTATGGAAATTTCAGATTAGATATACATTTTAGATTTTAATTAATATTTGTGTAATTTTCAAGCACAAGGTTTTCAAACAGACTTTATATTTTCAAGTGCTTTTCAAGCGCTTTTCAAGTGCCCTTGAAACAGATTTTTCAAATTAAGAACCTTCCAAAGAAAATGTCTCTGTTGAGAATGTCTCTGTGAAGTCCTAATTAGACCAACGAACAAGTGTACAGGTACCATAAAATGACACTTACTGTACTGAATGAGACATCTTAGTTAATTGTTCTACATACTGAACTCAATGCGATTGGCAAATATATAATACGGTTTAAATTTGCTTTATATACTGTATCACAACAATGGCTCCTCAGATCCTCAGATACATGGAAATCAATACCAGCTGGGGCTTCACCCCAAGCCAGGGCTACAATGCCACCCGAATTCCATTTCAAATAAATTAAGACACCTTATGTGCTCTTCTGCCCCCAACAAACACATTTTTAAACAGGCTCTATAGTCCCTGCTGTACGTATGACGTTGCTCATGTACAGAGTAAAGGCTTGAAAATCCTTGTGATGTTTGAAACGTTTGCCAAACTAGACAGCTTGTACAGTTTTGGCAATATGATGACCTATACTAATATTTCAGAAATCATAAGCAAATATTCACATCTACCTTGTTGTACCACGAAAATCACCATAATGTGCGTGTTCCTCCTTAAATTCGTTATGCTGATTTAACTGCAATGAGAAAAGATATATACAAAAATAACACCTGATTTATTTTTTACCTCGACAGTTGTGCGGTACCTGACAGTGCTAGCTGTGGCACAAATACTTCACTTACCTTGGCCGCCACAATGTCAGCAATTATCTTATTCTCACTTGTTCCCATGTTTATTATGCCCTAAAAAGTTAATTAATTAAATAACTTAATTCTAAACAGTGGTGATATTGTTCTAATCCCGCCTAGCCGGGAAACTCTCCTGGGCTATATGGCTTGTTTATATGGACAATCTAACCCTTTAAGTGGCAAAGCGCCCTGACGTGCCCTACTCTGTTATGTCACTTTATCTAATGCCAGATGATTCTACTTGTCAAGGAGGAGTACTGCTACTCAATGGGTGAATTATGCATGGGTTAAATGATTAACCATTCAAGAAAAAAAATACCATTTGCAAATGAAATCGAGGCAAATGTGATCCTGTCTTATTCACGATAGAGTATTTATATGGAAATTTAATTTACTCATCACATGTAAGTAGGTGGGTTCCTGGGGAATTAACAGATGACAGCTGTAACCCACGTACGGTAGGCAGAATGGTGAGAGTCGGATCATACAAACACTCAATAGAGTTTGTATTATGAGCAGGATCTCAGCAACTCATAGCACATTCGGAGCAGCTCCATTAAATATTAAAGTAAAAGACTAAAAGTCAGAGAAGTTGAAATCTCCTGGTTTCCCTGTCAATTTCCAGCTTTCTATATCTGTAAGTTTTGAAAGTTGCTGGTCTGTAAGTGGGTCATTCAACAAATACATGTTCAGTATACTGAACTGGGTATGAACAAAAGGACAAAAGCACTACCTATGCTTGGACAGGCTATTCAAAAGAAAACAAACATAGTTTGGTAATTTATTGTCTACAGGTGCAATTTAAAGATAAATATCAGTAATGAATATATATATGGCCGAAAGTTATTTACCAAATTCTGTAAATTTGCTTGCCGTTGTAGCCATTTATGTTATATATATATATTTATATATTAAAAGATTAAAAGTTTCTTGTCACAAGACGTTTCGATCAGAAACCTCCGATCTTCGTAAGTTGATATTAAAAACTAAGAAGCCAATAAACAGGCCTCTATTTATACGGTTCGTTAGCTATTAATTTGGTCATTGCCAGAACTTTTGTCCACTTGGGAATACCAAGCCTCAAGGAACAATCGTTTGCGATAATTTTTCAGGCTCTCTACTAACTATTTCGGCGTTTTCAAAGTCCATATTATGGTCATATTGCTCAACGTGTTGGGCTATCTTGGAATTCTTATCATTATATTCAACAGCTCTTTTATGTTCTTTTATTCTTGTTTTCAACGCTCGGTTGGTTTGACTATAATAAGTAAAATCAGAAGCGGAACATTCAATTTTATAAACGATGTCCCTTGTACGGTTGGTGTCTAGTTTATCTATTGGCTTTGGAAATTCTTGCTGTAATGTGCGAGTTGGTTGGAATGAAACACGAATTTTCTCACGTTGTAATGTTCTTGTAATTCTTTCTGTAACGCCCTTTATATATGGTAGAACAACATAACTAGATGAAACTGTTGATTTTTGCGTTGCATTCACATTTTCGTGCGAAAACCAACCGAGCGTTGAAAACAAGAATAAAAGAACATAAAAGAGCTGTTGAATATAATGATAAGAATTCCAAGATAGCCCAACACGTTGAGCAATATGACCATAATATGGACTTTGAAAACGCCGAAATAGTTAATAGAGAGAAAAATTATCGCAAACGATTGTTCCTTGAGGCTTGGTATTCCCAAGTGGACAAAAGTTCTGGCAATGACCATATTGACATTCCAGACGTTTATGGGTCACTGATGCATCCAAATTAATAGCTAACGAACCGTATAAATAGAGGCCTGTTTATTGGCTTCTTAGTTTTTAATATCAACTGACGAAGATCGGAGGTTTCTGATCGAAACGTCTTGTAAAAACTTTTTTATAAACGTGATTACGTTTTTTACATAGCTAGTGACAAGAAACTTTTAATCTTTTAATATATATATATATATATATATATATATATATATATATATATATATATATATATATATATATATATATATATATATATAATATATATATACATATACATATACATAAAGATTAGGTCTGCTGCCTCGCTCGCTCGCTTCACGCTCGCTCGCTACGGCAGCATTGATATATTACGGAAGCCCAGAAGTGTAATTGCTATTTCCTATTTCCGTGTTGAAAAAGTGGGTTGTAAAAGCTACTTTTTTCGCTATTTCCTATTACCGTGTTTCCTATTACCTATTACCGTGTTTCCTATTGCTGTGTTCCCTATTACCTATTACCGTGTTTCCTATTGCTATGTTTCCTATTACCTATTACCGTGTTTCCTATTCAGCTGTGTTTCCTATTACCTATTACCGTGTTTGCTATTGCTGTGTTCCCTGGCGGGCTATTTCCTATTACTTATTACCGTGTTTCCTATTGCTGTGTTTCCTATTACCTATTACCTATTACCGTGTTTGCTATTGCTGTGTTCCCTGGCGGGCTATTTCCAATTACCTGTTACCAATTACCTATTACCGTGTTTGCTATTGCTGTGTTCCCTGGCGCGCGAGCCATTACCTTTTACTGTGTTTCCTATTGCTGTGTTTCCTATTTCCGGTATAAATTAAGAACTTACTATAAATATTATAGTATATCAATGACTCGATATATCAAAGTCTCTTTTAGTCGAAGCAAAGAAAGATTACGATAAATTTGTGCTTTTGGACGACATCAATGTCTATATTTTTCTTCAACACAGTCTTAATATTGTTACTAAAAATCTAAAACCTTAGTTTAAATTATAAAGAACGCCAATTTTCAATTTTTATTTGTAAATAGTATGATTTTAATCAGTTTTAACTGAGGTTTTAGATTTTTTTAGTCACAATATACAAGACTGTGTTGAAAGAGAAGTATAGATATTAATCTTTCCTTGCTTTGACTAACGGTCAGTATAATCTGCAGACTGCAGACCAAGTACAAAATGCAGAATAGGTATAAATTGCAGACTGAAATTAAAGACTTGGTATAAAATACAGACTGTGAAAAAACATATATTTTAATATGTCATAATGTCAAGAAGTTCAAATTATTTACAACTTCGAGTTTTGCTGTTCATTGTCGATGCATGTTGATGTATAAGCTTTGAGCTTTATATAAAAAAGGTTTAGAATGATTTTCAAGATATTTTAGTGAAAATCATTGCAAAATTTAAGCACAACAAATTCATAATATTACTGCTATAGTCAGGCGTAAGCGGGTACACAATTTGTTTTTTCTCAAACTTAAAAGTTATTTACTACACAAATTTATTTTTGTGATGGTTTGTTGTTTCTTTTAGTTTGTGTATCTAGCTCATTTTAGTTCAATATTCTTCTTTACTCTTTAGGTATTAAATACGATTTAAAATGTCTTAATTTTGCTTATGTTTGCTATATTTAGCAGTTCCCACAACTCTCGTGACATAAAACTGACATTTGAGTCTTAGATTATATTTTGGTAAGTCGCATAATTGTGAAAACGGGTGTATATATATATATATATATATATATATATACATACAGGTCTTACGTTCTCAATAAAATGAATCAAAATGACTAACGGCTTTAATTAAGCTTTAAGTAAAGCCGAAGATTAACTTTTATTACATAAAGCCGCGCGTTTCATAAACACTATAAACATGACGATTCTCCGTTCTGAAAAGCCAAGGAATATAAAGGAATATTAACTTACATAAAGCTGCGTATTATATATACATACTCTTCTCATGGGGAACACTAAATTCTGTTGCTCTATTTATTTGGTTATTTCATAAGTAACATTTAAACGGATTTAAAGTTTTACGTTCCTGTTCGTGCTTAGGAAAAACGCAACACTATAGAAATCAACCTAATTAACTCTCGCAGGTCACCTAATTTCCTCTTGTTGCTTGAAGCACTTCATATTAAATATCATTCACCTACTTTAAATTCTCGTCTTAAAGCAAGGAAAAACTGAAGCTTTTCCATAATTTTAAACCTACATTTTACCACACTTCTGCGCCGCAAACCTGTCATGTTTCCTTGATTGAGACTTCCGTATGATGATTTCATGCATTACCAAATTCTCAAGATATAAGTTGCAATATTGTTACTTTGGTTTTAGTCTCTTGATTATTTTCAATGAAATCTAAATATCACGAAGTCGTTCTTGGTTTGTTTTGACCTTTATATTGCATGGGTTTTTAGTGCCATTTTAAACTGCCAATTTCAAACAAATAGAGCCTTGAAAGAAATTTCATTGCATTTTCACGGAACTTCGCATTCAGTTGAAGGGCCATGCAGTCATTGTTCGTGGAGAAATATATTTATTTCAGTTTGTGACACTTTTATTTATTGATATATAATAAAATATATAAATATAAAATATAAAATAATTATAAACCTCCCGCCTCTTCTACATTTTCAAAGTGTAGTAATGAGAATCAAGGAATTTATTTTATGTGGCCTTACGTATAGAAACATATCCGGGATATGTATTTCCGCATCATTTATATAGTTATCTAATTTCGATTCCTTAATAGCTAGCACTTCCAAAGTGGTTGATGTTAAAATAAAACGTATCTCATCAATATGTTTCATTGAACTATTTACATTAATACAGGTTATTTTAAAACCCTTAATATTGGTAAAGAAATTGAAAGTGAAACTAATATTGCTATCAATTAATGTTGGCCCTGGGTTTGTTCCCAAATAGTCTTCACTGCCTCTCCCAATCATTTCATCAGTGACATCCGAATACCCGATTTATGACCGTTAGAATATTATTGGCCGTTAGATGAAGACGACCGTAAAAATCTAATAAATTGAACGGCTAGCAATGATGTTCCCTTCGCATTCAGATGGAAATTACGATTGTTTAAACAAGTACTATCAATGACAGAATTATCAATAAACTGAAAGTTCGCTAACCTTTTAAGTTGATCATTAACTTCCACACGAATTACATCCACCTTAATATCTTCTCTATATGTTAAACTTGATACTCCAATGCTGGAATTTTGAAATTTTGTTTTAACTCTACGGACCAAGTTTTTAATTTGATCAACACACTCTTCCGCTTGATCTGCCGTTAGATTATTAGTCTCACAGTGAATAATGACTTGAGAAGGATCGTCATTGACATTAATGCTATCAATGCATTCGGCAATTTCCTCACAGGTTTTTCCGGGATAGGTAAATTTTCACACCGGTCCTCGGGACAATTTTTTCGGGTTAATATGGTTAGTAATTGAATCGCAAATAATTACAATAGGCTTTAGAGATCTTTGTGTATTTTGATGTTCGACTTCCTTGTGTGAATTTAGTTTTTTATTCTTTATCGGCTTGTTATTATAATTATAACTTCCAGCTGCGCATTGGCGTCTTTTTATTATTTCGTCTTGAATAATTACACTTCTGTTTTCTTGTTGACTGATTTTAGTAGACTAGAATCTTGTGACGCTTCATCGACATCTTTTTCTTTTTCCAGACCAATTGCATTTTCGTTCTCTGCGGGCTTTGTGGTTTACTGGTCTCCCCTTCGTCACTTGTCCTTTGATTTCTTTCTATTTGACATTGAGATTTTTCACCAGTGTTGCAATGCTGGACGTTTACGCCAGGTGAATGTCGACTTTCACACACTTTCTCAGACCGTTTGTCATATAGACTATGTTGGATAGAATCTTGTGACGCTTCATCGACCAAGTTTGAAAAACTATTCGTCATTATAACATCATTATCACTATGCTGCATTAGCATCGCAGATGGTGCTGATGGCCGAGGTTTATGCAGACTATTTCTACAGACATTATCCCATGTTTTTCATGAAAAAAGCTAGTAGAAGAATGTATATTCTAAGAGTTTGCAGACATTACGGGTTCTCTACGCATCAATTGGATCTTCTCTTCAATAGTCTTATAGACTGTCTTTTCACACTTTTGCAGCCCAACTTTGGGGTGGAGTATCGAACAACGAATACGTAAGTCAGATTGATAAGTTTGTCAATCGTGCCTATAAAATGGTTATACCACAGGAACCCATCCCGAGTCTTAATGATGTTATGTATTAGAATTAAGTATGAAATATATAGCTCAGTGTTGAAGACTGCGATTTGCGGGCTGTGTGCTGGCTAACGCGCGCGTTGAATACACAATAAAGAAAATAATAATGGGATGAAAGATCGACGAGTGCCAGGAAGCCGAGAATTCAAAGCACAATATCAGTGTGTTTAAATAAAAAGGTCAGAGTTTTAGTATATGTTGTGAAGTCCACTAGGTCCTGATCTTTCATATCGCATAGCCAAAATCTTGCACATATTTGCTAACGAGGAGAACTTTTTCGATTGATCGCACAGCAGTGAACGGTTGGATGTGTCGGGATGCGTTCCAAAGGTTGCTATGACATGCTGAAATGCTTATACTTATTTTTTACTCCACTCTACAGATCTCTAAAATCATAGGAAAAATATTAAATATTATTGTAGTTGTTGGTATATTCGAATATAAAACACATATAAAATTTTAAACCTTATAATCCAATATCATTGATCGGCCGGCCGTGAAAATTTCAAACTGCAATATTTTTTTGATTTTGCAAATTAGTTGCAGATGACAAATTGGTAATCAGAAAGGTAATTTCTGAAAGAAATTCTTTTGTTGAAATTTATAGGGACTTAATTCGATTATTTTCAATGTCATAACAACCTATGGAACACATGCTTCCAGGCACTCGTCAATGTTTCATCAAGGTATTAATAATCAATCAATCAATCAATCAATCAAAAACTTTATTTAAACACGGTGAAATCTACCCTGTAAATCTCGCAGTGTTCCGGCAACACCAAAAAGGTGTAACATTACACTAATTAGGTGTAACGCGCAATTAAACACCGTTCGAGTGTAACGTTACACTTCCACAGTGTAACTTTACACTATTTTAGTGTCTCGGCAACACTTACTAGATGTAAAGTAGAAAATATCCTATTTACACCTAATTCGGTGCAGAAGGGTCATTTCTGAAAGAAATTCTTTTGTTGAAATTTATACGGACTTAATTCGATTATTTTCAATGTCATAACAACCTATGGAACACATGCCTTCAGGCACTCGTCGATGTTTCATCAAGGTATTAATAATCAATCAATGAATCAATCAAAAACTTTATTTAAACATGGTGAAATCTACAGTATAACATTTTACAAGATAATTAACTAACATATAGTCTACATATACGATAATCTATATATACTTTGAAAACTTTACACACTAGAGCTATGGCTAATGATAAATGAGTTTTTAAAACGATCCGTATGTCCGTACCTATATTTTCGTTTCGTGACTTCCTTTCCATCACATGGTCTGATCTAAATAATTGCATCATGCTACGCATCCTGCATGCACCCCACGAAAGACCTTACCATTTGTACGATTCGTACGGATGGTACGGATGGAAAATCTTGAGTTTATGATCCGTCTGAGCGAGCACACTACGCCGTTTCATGTTTCGAGCAGCTCCATATACAGCTCCATATACTATACAATTTAATTACTCGTTCTTGATATGTCAAAAAATTCACGCAAATGACACAATATATCATATAATATGTCGTTGCTTCGTTCTTAAGAAACGACGCAATATATCAAAATAATTTGTTGTTGCCTCGTTCTTAAGAAACGATGCAATATATCAATATAATATTTGTTGTTGTTTGTCAAAAAATTCCCGCCATATATAAATATAATATGTCGTTGCTTCGTTCTTAAGAAACGACGCAATATATCAATATATATCTTGTTGCCTCGTCCTTAAGACAGACGCATGAATATATAAATATAATTGATGTTGTTGCTTGTCAAAAAATTCACGCAATATATCAATATAACATGCCGTTGCTTCGTTCTTAAGAGACGACGCAATGTATCAATATATTATGTTGTTGCCTCGTCCTTAAGACAGACGCAATATATAAATATAATTTATGTTGTTGATTGTCAATGAAAATTCACGCAATATATCGATATAATATGTCGTTGCTTCGTTCTTAAGAAACGACGCAATATATCAGTATGTTGTTGCTTGTCAATATACATACAATTTACTCGTTCTTATATGTGTCAAGACATTCATGCAATATGTGGAAATAATATGTTGTTGCCTCGTTCTTAAGAAAGGATGCAATATATCAGTATCAGTATATTGTTGCTTGTCAAAAAAATCACGCAATATAGCAATATAATACAGTATGTCGTTGCTTCGTTCTTAAGAAAGTCGCGCCTGTCATAGCCTGCGTATAGCAGCACAGTGGTGGCAGTCGCTTTATTTCGTTGAACAACGGTTTTGAGGATTATTTTCCCTGCGTGTCTCATAAACAGTAGCCTATATACATAACATATACATAATTACTTATGTATACATACAATTCCATCTGCCTCGTTCTGAAAAGCATATATATATATATATATATATATATATATATATATATATATATATATATATATATATATATATATATATATATATATATATATATATATATACTTACAAGTGTTACGTTCTCAATAATATCAATCAAAATGACTAACGGCTTTAATTAAGGCTTAATTAAAGCCGAAGATTAACTTTTATTACATAAAGCAGCGTGTTTCATAAACACTATAAACAAGACGATTCTCCCGTTCTGAAAAGCCAAGGAATATAAAGGAATATTAACTTACATAAAGCTGCGTATTATATATACATACTCTTCTCATGGGGAACCCTAAATTCTGTTGCTTTATTTATTTGGTTATTTCATAAATAACATTTAAACGGATTTAAGGTTTTACGTGCCTGTTCGTGCTTAGGAAAAACGCAACACTAGAAATCAGCCTAATTAACTCTCGCAGGTCACCTAATTTCCTCTTGTTGCTTGAAGCACTTCATATTAAATACCATTCACCTACTTTAAATTCTCGTCTTAAAGCAAGGAAAAACTCAAGCTTTTCCATAATTTTAAACCTACATTTTACCAGCCTCCTGCGCCGCAAACTTGTCATGGTTCCTTGATTGAGACTTCCGTATGATGGTTTCATGCATTACCATTTCTACTGGGATATATGTTGATGATTGGAAAAGAGCTAGGGTAATACCTGTTTATAAAACAGAAGATAGAACGACATGTAAAAACTATCGCCCGATATCTATTCTTCCCATTATCAGCAAATTATTTGAGAAAGAAATATTTGGACAGCTCTATCAATATCTGATAGACAATTCTCTACTTTCACGTTTTCAATCGGGCTTCCGGCCCAAACATTCGACACTGTCCTTATTAATAGAAATGAGTGACAATTGGTTTGAAAATATGGATAATGGAGAAATAACCGGATTGATTTCAGTTGATATTAGGAAAGCGTTTGACTCCATTGATCATAGAATCCTATTAAGGAGATGCAAGACCAGTTTGGTGTTCAAGATTTTGAGCTAAAATGGTTCCAATCCTTTTTGACGAAGCGAAGACAAGTTTGTGTTGTCGATGGCCACACATCGTTGGCTAAGGAAATTGTATGCGGAGTTCCACAGGGATCTATTTTGGGGCCCCTCATGTTTTTACTATATATAAATGATTTGCCAGAATGTCTGAAAAACACAACTCCTGGCATGTATGCTGACCATACTCAAATATATGCATCTTCCGCAAGTTTCTCCGAACTAGTAACCAAACTTAATCAGGATTTAGAAAATATAGTCAAATGGCTCTCTCGAAATAAATTGCAACTTCACACAAAAAAGACAAAGCAATGTTTATAGGATCACCCTATAACTTAAAAAAAAAGTTGGTAATGAACAGGTAATGATAAATGATAAACCGGTTACTCGAATTTAAGTAGCTTCAAAAATTTGATAAAATAATGTATGCTACAGAGTCAGGCATTGAATAGTCTTGGTTTTTTTAACTTTTTTATCTACGTATTTGTTATTCTATGTTATTCTATTTCTTATTTAATTAATATTAGTTTTTAGAATGTTATTTGTGTGAGGCCCCTCATGAAAATCATCCATGGGTGATGAGGGAAGCGTGGTTAAATAAAGTTTTACTGATTCTCAAGATATAAGTTGCAATATTGTTACTTTGGTTTTAGTCTCTTGATTATTTTCAATAAAATCTAAATATCACGAAATCGTTCTTGGTTTGTTTTAACCTATATATTGGGTTTCAAGATGTTAATCTCTGATTATATTTTGTTTTCAATTTTTTGAAACTGTCGGCTACTATTGTTTTTTGACTATATCTATGACCATGTCAACTCACATTTGACACTTCCGTTTTAACACGAACAGCATCGTATTCAAATGTATAGTGTCTTTACCGCCCTCATTCTGCACAGAATTTAGAAGCTTTACTCCTTTAGCACTAGATTCACGGATCGACATTTTATTTTTTCCGATCGTAAATTCCCAGTCTATCCGTTACCAATGGAACGGATCGACAACATTTTTGAGGCATTCCTTAGACACTCGAACGCTTTAGCACTAGATTCACGGATCGACAATTCACATTTTCCGATCGTGAATTTCCAGTCCATCCGATACCAATAGTACGGATCGACAACATTTTTGAGGCCTCCCGTAGACACTCGAACGCTTGAGTACTAGATTCACGAATCGACAATTCATATTTTCCGATCGTGAGATCCGAGTCCATCCGAAACCAATAGTACGGATCGACAACATTTT